TTTATTCATATTATAAAATTTTAAGTTTTTTAATGAGCCAAAAAGTGTTCAGAGACTTTTGGCGGCCCTCTGTATATCAGAAATAAACTCAAATAGTACATTAAATTAATATTAAAAAATCATATATTTGATATTATTTTAACAAATTGGTTTAATCTAAAAGTTCAGTTCCTTAGAATAATAACATATTGATTCAAATGAATGATAAATGCATCATTCTTTAAGAAAGATAAAACTATTATACCTTAAGAATAATGGTATCATCATTCTTTAAGAATAATAAAATTGTCGTACTTAAGGTATGATAAAATTATTGTCTCTAAGGAATGATAAAATCATTATTTTTAGGTATAATAAAACTATCATTTCTTAGGAAAAATAATACCATTATCCCTAAGGAATGATAAAACTATTATATTTTAGGAACAATAATACTATCATTCCTTAGAAATAATAAAACTATCATATTTAAGGTATAATAAATGTATTATTTCTTAGAAATGATAATATCATCATTCTTTAAGAATGATAAAATCGTTATACCTAAGGTATAATAAATGTAATATTTCTAAGGAATAATAAAATCATCGTTTTTAAGAAATGATAAAATTATTGTTTCTAAAAAATGATAAACTATTGTCTCTAAGAAATGATAAAATCATCATACCTAAAAAATGATAAAACTATCATATTTAAGATATGATAAAACTATCATATCTTAAAAATGATAATACCATTATTTTTTAAAAATAATAAAATCGTCGTACCTAAGATACGATAAATATATCATTTCTAAGAAATGATAAAACTATTATTCTTAAGAAATAATAATACCATCATATCTCAATCATATATCAATTGGCTATAAATAAGATAGGTCAGATTTTTGATGTATACCAATCAGCTATAAATAAGATAGATTGAATTTTGACTGATTCTTGGTTGATTTCTGATGTATGCCAATCAGCTAAGCCAATTTTTTAATAATTTGCTAGTTTTAGGCTAATTTTAGGCTAATTTTTTATATATCTGATTTTTATGATTTCAATCAATGATAATTACTATATTTTAATATATAATATGTTGATTAATTAGATAAATTAAGTGATATATATTCCAATTATAAAATTATTATATTTATTTTCAGATTAATTAATTTATTATACTTTTAAATATAATAATAAAATAATTAATATTTGTATATACATATTTAAATAATTAAATATTTATGATTTATATATATTATAAATCTAATAATAAAACTATTTAATAAAAATTAAAAGACAAAAATTAAGAACTTATTTTTTTATACTTATTTATTATAATTTTTTTATAATAATATAAAATTATAAATATAATTATTAAATTTTAAAATATAATAGTTCTTTAAAAACTTTTAATAAATAAAATAATAAACTACAAATTACTAAAATAAAGAATCTATTAAGTGATCTGATAAAATCTAGAACTTATTTAATATTTTTTATAATATTAGATTATTATTAAATATTGTGTAGTAATACTATATTGATATTTCTCTAATATAATAATATCAAATTTTAGCAAATATCAGTTCTGATATTTATGTACTTTAATATTAATTAATTTTAATAATGTCAAAATTTTGATAATTATTAATAATTATTAATAAAATAATTATGTCTATTAAAATACAATTTAATTAGTAATTTATCAATTCACATTAAAATATAAATATTTGTCTAAAATTTGATAACCTGATATTTGTTCATTTTTACCTATATATTATACTGATATTATTTTATTTGACTAGTATAATAATTTAAAAATTTCTTTAAATTTTATTTTTATTTTTTCAACTATATAATATTATTAATCATATAAAAAACTGGTTTTGCATATCTTAATAAATATTTAAGTCAAATTAAAAAATATTATTTAATTATGAAAAATATTATTATTATTAATAATTATATTTTTAAAAATAATTTGTGTTACATCTTTTCACTTTTTCATTTTTTATATATATATTTTAGAAACAAAAAATTTTTAGTTGTAAAAATCTATTTTGCACACTTAGCATTAAATATTACATATTTTAATTTTGGATAGCATAATATAATTTTGCTTAGAGATAATACATCACACGTGTGATAAATAAATTTACTCTTATTTTTAATATATTTACTTCTTTGGTAAAATTACAAATCTATTAAATAATAATCTTTTTACCAATTTTCTAATATATTTGCAAATATTTATACAAAATAAATTTTAAATTGTACTTCAAAAGAAAATCTTTATTAGCTTAAAACACTAAATTGATAGATTAAACTAATATAAAATAAAATGTAATTGGTAAAAAAAAATGAAAAAGTATTATAGTCTAATAAATCTAGATTTGCATCTTTTAAGTCTGATGGTTAAGTAAGAGTATGTGGGGTGGTGAAGCCCATATTAAATTGCATTCAAACTATTAAAGTTGGTGATGTTTTAGTTGGATCATTAGTAATAGTTAATGAAAATATGATATTAATATTCTTGCAAATCATATTTACAGTTTGGTGAATGAAATTTCAGTATTAGATTGGTGGCGCAAAGTTCAGATCTAAACCCAAATTGAATGCTTGTGGGATTATTTAGATCGTCAAATACAAAAAGGAAATCTTTGCATAAATCTAAGCAGGAGTTGCGAAGAAAAATGTTAAATTTAAATGTAGAATTATTACCATCATTCAATTTAAGTATACACAAGCGTATTAAAGATATTATTAAGTTAAAAGGTAGACACATTAAATACTAGCATTTAAATTTTTATAAAAATCAAAGTTAACATCCAATTATTTTTAGATCGTTTGTATTATAAATTTCCGGTGATTTTATTGTAGGGTAGTTAGTATACACAGCACGTTCCCTTTTTCCAATAAAATCTATTTTTTCCATCTAAAACAATATAACAAAGAGTTTAATTGGAGAATTCATTAATAAATTTCTGAATCCTTATACTTTAATCCTTATCCTTATCTTTTAAAAAAATCCTTTATATTTTGGATTGAATCCATTTTGGTGGATCCAATGCGATCCGATCTGTGTTTCAGGAAAGTTTATATATAACAAACAGTTTTCAATTTTTTTTTGTTTAACTTGATAAATGTTTCGTAAAGAAAGAAAATTACAAAACCAACAATGACGTCGCCATATTATTCAATCGACCCTGGGTTAATTAGTCGGAATTATGAAACGTCATGTAGTCCCGACGTTCAGCAACTTATTTTTAAAGCACTTAACTCATGCAATTCTCAAGGAACAGATGTTGCATATAAATATTCGTTCTTTCATCTTATATTAGTAAATCTTTTCAAAATCACTTGTGAAGAAATATTAGATAATTTTGAACCGATGACAAGCAATACTGTTACCGACAAAGTTTTTTTATTTACATATAATCAGAAAAATTACAAAATAACCTGCGAATATATTCCATCCCCAATGGTTGTTGATATATTGAATAAAAAAGTATATGATGTTGATACAAACTTGAATGAGCAGCAGCAACGACCATTTGTGGATTTTCCTAAAGGATATAAAGTCGACTTTGAGTCTTCCTTGAAACCATATTTAGATATGTATCTGGCACAGGTTCACATTCAAAATGATCAAAGTGGTAATGAAAATGGTAGATATGTTTTTAAATTGTTTCGTTCAGGAATTTGGGTTCCACGAAAAAAAAAAAAAATACTTGTTTAAGTCGATCCCGAGTTATTAATTGAACTTTATTTCCCTCACAGACGAATACTTCATTGAAGCCAAAGAAGATGAAACATATCCGTGTAAAAAATGGACAAAAGAAATTACTGAAGAATTCATTCGTATTTTGAAGAATATGATCCAAGAACTTGTTAGGACCGGTTCCATATCTAAAAATATTTCAAAAAAGCATTGGGAAATTGTCTCAAAAGAGTTGAAGGATCTCTCCCACCATTATTATACTCCTAAACAATGCGCCGTTAAATTTAAAAATCTCAAAAAAAATTGCAAGGTAAATGGTTTATTTCTTTTATAAAAAAGTTTATAACATTATCCATTTTTTTTCTAATAAAGTGAATTTTAATTAGGATATTAACAATAAATGTCAATATAAGAAATCAGTTCAAGAAATTCTCGAAATAATTGATTCAGGACAAAAAAATAAGTAACGGATATTTAGTTTATTATTCAATGTATTTATATCGACTTTTTAATATATTTAGATGATATTATAATAGATCACAATTGTAAAAGTTACGTAACAAATTTTTAATATTTAAGGAGCGTAACATCACATTACGGATAATATAATTTCATGAAGTTTTACTGGCAACGTTTCCATTTACTTTTTTTTTTTTTTCTAAAAACATTATTTAATTGTATTGAATTTATTTTATTAATTAAAGTTTGGATGTGCAATCATAGCACAATATTTATGAAAAACAAAACTAAATACAATAAGCTAGCACTTGTTAAATCAAGACGACTTTTAGATGATTCTCCAGAACAAAATTGCCACTTTGTGCTGTGCTAATCAGATCGTGATCAAAACGATCCATCAGTTTTGTAGTTCACCTTGATCGATGCAACATATTAAGAACTTATAAATTTTTTGGAGGACGAAAGGCGATAGAGCCGTCATTTTGAGAAACATAATCTCCAGGTGCGTTTAGTTCTGTGGAAAGGGAATTTAAATTTAAAAAATATCATTTATCTTTACCCTAATCCTTTTTAGCCTTTGTATCACCCAAATTATCGATCTGATAGTGAGATATATTTCTTGATAGATCAATATTTCTTGTTTACGTCCAAAATTTAAAACAATTAAACATTAAACAATAAGTATATGTTTATTTATTTATTACATTTTATTTTAAAGTCAAATTTTATTAAATTTATTTTACATTTTGAAACGGAATAAAAGAATTACTTTGATCATTATAGTATTGAAACTATGAAAATAACGGAAGCGTTGATGATTATAAGACGAAGAAACATCATTAAAAGAAGTTGGATCAATAATTTAATAATTATTTAAAGAAGATGATGAGTCATTTAAAAATAGGTGCGTATATAAGTCATTTAAAAGGACGCATGAATGAATTATTAAGGTACTTATATGAATCATTTAAAGTAGGATGCGTATACGAATAATTTTAAAAGAAGATAGATCATCTAAAGAAGTGTACATGTATGAATTATTAATGGAGGGTGCGTTTAAAGAAAGATACACGTATGACTTATTTTAAAAAGGATATAATTTAAGGAAGGTGTGTGTACAAATTATTTAAGAATTCATATAGAAGATTTAAAGAAGGATATATAAATTCTCTATAGGAAATGTGTATATACATTATATAAAAAAGAAGGATGGAATTTATATTATAAAAAAAGAATAAGTATTTGAATTTTATAAAGAAGAAGAATGTATATTAGAAATAATTGTAAGAGTAAAAAATTGAGAAGAATTTAAATTAATAATATTTTTATATAGATCATTTGCTATTATACCTAGTTATAAAAATAATAAATCATATGATCTGTAATGTAATTTTAATAGCAAACCTCCTATTATATTTTCTTAATTTTTTTTAAATTTTCACTTTTATTTTTCTTTTAAATATTTTATATTATTATATTTTCTTTTTCTTTTTCTTTTAATTTTATTTCTATTTCTTTATTTCTATCTATTAGATATATTCTTTATTCTATTTTTCAAGTATATTTAGAGTATATGGAAAACCGGTACGGTACGATTCGCCAGACCAGTACAGTACGATTATGCAGATCAGTAATTTTGACATTGTACCGTACTGTACTGGCTGTATATATAAAGCTTTATTATAGAACAAGTACGGTACGGTACGATGCCAAATTTAGTATGCGTTTATTTTTTAAATTTATTTTATTTATTACTTATTTTATAATATTAAAAAAAATCATTATATCGCATTTTACTAATTAAATGCTTCGAAATCTATTTTATTTTTATTTTATTTTCATTCTTTTTATACTAAAAAAAATAAAAATAAAAATAAAATAAAAACTAAACAAAAATAAAATATAAATAAAAAATAAAAAAAAAAAGAAAAGTAAAAGAAACGAATTGCAAAAAAACAACAAAAAAAAAAATAAAAAAATAAAACAACAAAAAAGAACTAAAAAAGAACAAAAAAAAATAACAAAAAAAAAAAAAGTAAAAATATAAAAAAATAAAAAAAAAAACAAAACTAAAATGAAAAAGAATAAAAAAAAAGAAAATACAAAAAAAAACTTAAAAAATAAATTAAAAAAAAAAATAATAAAAAAATAAAAAGTAAAAAGTCTGATGGTAATGGAATAAAAATAATAAAGTCCAGTGGAAGGGGAATAAAAGAAAATAAAAAAATCCAATGGAGGAAGAATAAAAATAATAAAAAAAAGAAAATAGAAATAAGAAAAAATAAAAAAAAAAGATTAAAAAATATAAAAAAATATAAAAATAAAATAAAATAAAATAAAAAGACCGAAAGGGAATTTTTAAAAAAAATCAAAAAAAAAAATAATAATAAAATAAAAACAGAGAAAAAAAAAATTAAAAAATAATTCAATAAAAAAATATTGGGAATTAAAAAAAAAAAAATAAATAAACAAACCCAAGGAAAATAAAAAAAAAAGAAAATATAAAAATGTAAAATTCTAATTTGTCATGATGAAATTTAAACATGAATATCTCCAATCCAATTCCTATTAATTTGATATGCAGATTCGATAAATTCAGCTCTTTCAAATAAGATTAAAAATATTCAGATTCAATCACTCGATCTATTGATATTTGAGAAAAACTGTAAGCAATTATTTTAAGGTTTATTACAGAAGAATTTCAAGAAGGTATAAATACTAGAACTAAAATAAAAGGACTGTTAATATTACATTAATGTTAACACTGCACTTCTTTGAGTATTAAATCACTAAAATAACTTATTTAAATAAATAAAATTTCTTACATTAGCAACTCTTACTAACTCTTTTTCTAAGAAATTAAATAATTAGGTAAAATGTAAAGTTCTAATTTGCTGTAATAAACTTTAAATATGAATATCTTGATGTCAACTATACCAATTTCTGTTAAACTTTAGCAAAATAAATTAAGATGATTTTGTACTTTTAAATAAGCCTAAATCAATTCATAATATATGACATACTATTATAATAAATGCAAAATTTTATTTTTTTTTAAATGAGTGTTTAATTATAATAATTAAAAGATTACCTTTTTTTATAGGATTCAGAAATCTTTATTTTTGATCAAAAGTAAAATATAAAGGAAATTAGTTAATATTTTTATATTTTTTTATTTTTTAAAAAAAAAAAAATAATCATCTGCTTACTTACCTTTTTATAGAATTTTTAAGATACAAATATTAATTTTTATTAAAAAAAAATAATTAATCTAAAAATCAAAATCAGAATTAAAAAAATAAACGAAATCTAAAATTTAAATTTAAAAAATTTAATTTAAGATATAAAAAATAAATAAATTATTAAAAAATTATTCATATTTAATGATATTTCTTTTATTTAATTTTAACTTTAACTTATAAATACATAATTTTATAATATTATATAATCCCCTAATAAATATAACTTAATTTTTTTAATACATAATTGAATATTTTAAATAATTTTAAATATAAAGATAAAAAAAATTTTTTGAATATAATATAATTTTTTAATACATAATTTAAATAAAATTAAATATTTTAAAATAAATAAATTTAAATATAAATATAAAATATAATAAATTTTAAAAAAAAATTTAAAGTACTTATATAAAAATAAATAAATCTTTGCTTCAAAATAGGCATACCTATATGATGCTAATTATATTTTTTCTATTTTAAAAAAAATTAACAAAAGTAATAAAAATTATAATATTTATTTATTAAATAAATAGTAATATTCTTGTAACAAATAAGGCGTATCCTGATATTATTAATATATTAATAATTAGTGTTCCAAAAGGGTCAAGTCAAATCCAGGTCATTTGATCTGACTTGTGTTTAAAATCTGAATCGAGTTTATCATTATTTGATATGAGTCCTATATTCAACCTGACCCATCGGGTTAGGGTCATACCTTTGCTTGACCCAGGTTGACCCCAAGTTAACCCAGGTTTAATCAAATATTTTGATGATCTTGGATATAAAATGGTTATGTTATGTGATTTTTAATTTCTAATTTTATTTGTGATTTATATATAAAAATGAGTGAGGCTGAGAAAACAACTCTTGAAAAGCGCCCTTCTCTAAGAAGTGAACTTTTTACTAGAGAACTTTTTGAAGAAAAAGAACTTCCACAAGAACACAAAAATGCAAAAACTCATCGAGTGGTTAAGTGTTTAAACTGCCTGTAAGTATTTTAGAAAAAAAATAAAAATTTGCTTAAATATTCATAAGCATTTTTATAAAAAAATTAATTATAAATCTAATCTCTTAAAATTTTAGGGATAAAACATAGTTTTGCAAGATTAGTGATTTTAATATAACAAATTTTTGGCATTATTTAGAACGTAATCATCCAGAGAAAAATCCAAAAAAAGAAAGAATTTAATGATTGAAACCCAAAGCACATTTATTGGATGAATTTGTAAACCATACAATAATTCCATTTAAGGTATGTTAATAAATAATATATAAAATGGAAAGATATGAATACAGTGTGTAACAAAAAAATGGCAGTGACAAAAAGCAATATATCTCAAAATCTACCTATCCAATTTGAATGAATTTAAATTTATTTAAAAGCTAATCAATTCCTTTATTAGATAAAAAAATTTCAATACAATATTCTATCGCTGTTTTTTTCTAAAACCATTTCACATCTGGTTTTCATGGACATAACCAAATTATTCACTGTTGATTGAGGAACTGCATCCTATTCTTCAACCAAAAATTTGGTCAACTCATTAATATTTTGAGGCATCCGCTTTTTAACATTATTTTTGACGATTGTCCACATATTTTTAATAGGATTAAAATCTGGACTATTGGATAGCCAATCAATAGTACGAATCGAATTTTTGGTAATAAACTCCTTTGCAACATGTGAAGTATGCTTCAGATCATTGTCTTATTGCAGATGCTAGTTTCTTCTATGCATATTTCTTGTAGCATGTAGAAGCTAATTTTGTAATATACTTACATAAAATGGTCTATTCATAATATTAGTGAAACAAAAGAGAGGTGTTTTCCCTTTTTTGAAATCCCTCCCCATGCCATCACTTTTTGACGAGATTTTAGCAATCTCCAGATGGGTCTTTTACCATTTTTATGCCATTGACTGACCTTATTTCGAAAAAGGTCAAATGCTGTCTTATCAGTGAATATTATCTGACCCCAATTGTCATTTAAATATGCTTATGCCCATGCTTTTCGTATTTCAATATGCCGATTTGTGAGCATCGGAGTTGCTAATAGGACAGAACGTTCATATCCTTTTTTTTTCATATGTCTCCAGATGGATTCATATGAAATGGAAATATTATAGGTATTTTGTATTTTTGCAGCAAGTTGGCGGGTTGAAATTGCAGTATTTTTGTGCATATATTGCCCAATAGCCTGGGATATAGTTTGTATAACCTTTGATTTCTGACTATTATTACACTAATGATTGATATTACCTGTTTCTCTAAGCTTTTTAAGATTACGCTTAATAGTACGAAGGGAAATACCAGTTTTTTTTTGTATTTCCTTTGCTGAATTAATACCATTAAGCCAGTAATGTCGAATTGTTTGTCTTTGAGCTTCTAATCTTGTATTAACCATTGTTGCAAAGAAAATAATATAAAAATAAACAAAAATAAACAAAAATTTACTTTTAAAAACGCGTTTTTCTAAATTAGAAATATTAAATTAATGATTTGTTTATGACCAACATTATAAATTTCTATGTTTTATTTGTAAAATAATATTATTTTATCAACCACTATTTTTTTCATTACCACAAAAAGGTTTTCGCGAGTTCATTATTAAATGGATGATCGATGATGATCAACCATTTATAACATTAGAAATAAATATTTTTAAAAGATGATAAAAATATTAAATTCAGATACACTGATCCCATCAGCAAATACAATAAAAATGATATATTAGAAAGTTTTAAAGTGAAACAAAAAAAAATGAGTAAATTGTTTCAGATAATTTAAATATATATATATATATTTTTTTAAAAATTTTTTTTTTATTTTATTAAACAATTTATCTATTTAATAGAGTGCATCTGGGAGAATTTCTTTTGCAATTGATTTATGGACATCAATGAATGGTTATTCCTTTTTAGCTATAACAATACACTGGATTACTAAAGATTAGAGACTTCAAGATAAATTGCTAAATTTTATAGATCTTTCTGGTTCTCATTTAGGTGAAAATCTCTGTAATACTTTCATAAAAAGTTGTCATGAGTTTGGAATTTTAGAAAAGGTAAATAAATATTTTTTTATTTTTTTTTTAATCTTTTATTTTATTTTTATTTTAATTTTTAATTTTTGTTTATTTTTTATTTTTTTATTCTTTTTATTTTATTTTTATTTTTATTTTTCTTTTAATTTTTTTTAATTATTTTATTTTATTAACTCTTTATTTTTTTTTTTAATTGTTTCATTTTTATATTTATATAAACTTAAAATATAACTAATAAAATCATTATAACTAGTGATAATGCTTCAAATAATATTACCTTTATGAAATGTTTAGAAAGTACTTGTTAAATGGAATATATTTTCTTTGATGCTATTAATTCCCATTATCAATGCCTTGCTTATATAATAAATTTAGTTGTACAAGAAATTTTAGAATAAGTTAAAGCTGGTGAAGCATAAATTGAAGATGATATTATGAATAATATGAATTTAACTATAAATGCTGGAGAAATAATTCCTAAAGTAGGTTAATTTTTCATATTTCTTTAAATTTTAAATTATTATAATACTAATTTTAAGTCATAATTAGCTTTGTAAGCTTATAGTAAAAATAAAATCATCACTACAACGCAAAGTAAAATTTGCACATCATGCTGAAACTGCTAATCTTAAAGAGCTTAACCTTATCTTAGATGTTAAAACGCGATGAAATTCTACATTTGATATGCTTAATCGTGCATTTGTGATGCAAGAAGTTAGAGTATTTATCATATTATATACATTTGCTTTTTTTAATTAATTATAAGGATTAAATTTATCAAAAAACTTATTTTTATTTGTCAATTTTCTTACTTTCAAAACAGAAATAATCTCTTTTATTTTATCCCATTCATCATCAGTAATTTCAAAATTTCTGAGATCTTTATCTGAATTTGCCATTGCATTTATTGCCTATAATATAAAAAAATATTATTATATTAATATAATAAAAAAAGTTTATTTTATATTACAGTCAGGGGTATTTCCAAATTTGGAATCGATTCCAGAATATTTTGCCGATCATGCCGATCATTTTAAATAGGAAATTCGTGAAACTTCAATGATCTATAAAAATTTTTTTTTTTTTTTTGCAAAACTAAATGCTAGAATATATGTTTTCAAGTATATAGATTCAGAATCCACGTGGATCCACAAGACCTTACAAAACAGTTTTCTCTCAAATTAAATTTAAAACTACATCGGTAAGTTAGAAGCATATGAATCAATGCATTGTTCAACGTTACATCTAATAGAGCATTGATCAATGTAAAATCACATTGTTCTGCTAAGGTAACATCGATCAATGTGATTAACAATGCACAAACAAGGCTAGTACAATACGCATATCAATGTTTTTAATAAACTATTCAATGCACAGATTTATTTACAATTTTATTATTACAATGCAATGATTTAATATCTTTACTATTTCTTAGCTAGAAATTAATAAATACATGAATTAATAATTAAACATCATCTTCACTATCTGTATTTTCTGTATTTTCCTTTCTATCTTCACTATTAACACTAATATTATCTTCTACATTATCCTCTTGATCTATAAATTCTTCATAAAATAATTCATTATTATAATTTTCTGTAATACCATTACGTTTCATCATATTATCTTTTGTATTTTCTTCGTATTCAAGCTAAAATAAATATGTGTTAGAATTACTAATAAGTTAAAAATCGTTAAGACTAATTAAATATTAGTTACGTTATGCTACTTACCCATTTTTGCACAATTGGATCAGATTCCCATTTGTTCATACGCTCATATACCTTTGAGGACGAAATTTCAGCTTGGTCATACGTTGGATCTAAAAACATCAAGATAACTGTAACTCCGAATATAATGTTATTACTATTTTGAAGTTCTTCTTTATTAAATGTTTTTTGTAAAATAGCTTCAATAATATGTGGTGAATTTGAGTTATCCTTATCCATTCTATTTAAGAGATTATTCCTTGCTTGTTTAACCTTTTCTGACTCTTTCCAATGTCTGACTTTCTCAGGACTAGCAGACTTTTTGAGCTTTTGAGAAAATAAATTTAAAAAGATATAAATAGAATCTTTTATTTTGCGAATATATGATGCCCTATAATTACGAAAGTATTCTAATGTCTGTTTATTAAAAGATATGTAA